CGTCCAAGTCGAAAGGCTCGGGCTCGTCGAAGGCGCGCTCCGAGGGCAGCTCTACGGGCTTCTGCTCGGGACTGGCGGCGGGCGATGCGATGGGCGACGTCTGCATCTCGGCGGGGATGGAGCGCGTCGTCTCGAAGACGAAGAAGGCCTCGCCGCCCTCGCCCAGCTTCATCGAGTAGTCCTGCAGCTCGCCATTGACGCGGAACTCGACCTTCTTGTCGGACGGGCGCAGTATTTGGTACTTGCCGAAGCGGACGTGGAAGGGCGAGCATGCCAGGCTGCCGTCCTCGTGCTCTACGACGATGGTGTCAATGGCGCCGCTGAGGGTGGCGGGGTTGATCGAGTTCCAGCCCTTGGACACGCTGCCCGTGATGGATCGCACGTAGTTCATGGTTGCTGTCTATGGGCTCGCGCCTTTTGCGCAAATGATCTCGTTTGTATGGTTCGTAGCGAGCGTCGGGGATGTACGTCAGAAGTGTTTTACAGAGGGCGGGCGGATGGAAATGTGTCAGAGCGTGTTTGCATTCTTTCTTCACATGTCAGAGGGCTGCTTTCACCGAGGGAGGAGCGAGCGGCCGAGCGTTGAGGGTCAAAGAAGGGATGTCAGGAGTGGAAGTACTTTTGCGCTGACGTGCCTAGGCAGTGGTGAGCTATGCGGTCACCGAGCTCGCGGGCGCATCACGGGCCCGAGGACGTCAGGCCGAGATCAAGTGACACCAGTGATGCGCTGAGCCGGAGTGCGCGGCAGGAATCTCCAGAATGGTACATCTTGCGAGGGATTTCGTGCATACAGCATGGGCTAAGGTGCAGAATCGAGATGCTATCTTCACATGCTGGAACGGAGCACGCACATTGGAGAACCATTCGTGGTGATTATATGTTGGGCCAGCCACTGGCTCAACCACTGCTCCGTGTAGATTATGGGGATGTCACCTCTCATGACTCTGCTACCGGATAATAGTCAATGGAAGGTATCGCGATGATATTCTCAACACACGCCTAACTCGACTTTTCGACAGCCACCCTGCCCCGCTAGCTGCTGCTAGCTGCTACGAGCAGATGAATGCGGAGGAGGTGCAGGTGTGGAGCAGCCAAGACGTCGAAATGGCCTGTAGCTTCGGCCATTTGCGGCGGTTGTGGCTGCACATGACGCCGCCAGGCACCGCGCAAACTTCACCCACCACGACAAGCAGGTGGGAGACGCCTGACAGCTGTCGCCATGTTCTCGGAACCCTCACAGTCGCTGTACTGGCCGCCCGATGTCGCCCGCTACGACATGGAGGCCCTGCTGTTCTCGTCTTCGGGCTGGCTGCGCACGGCGTGCATCGTCTCGGCCCTCTTCTGGTAGGAACTGTATACAAGAAGAAATACACGCGCACCTACTCACCGCGCATGCAGGGTCGCCTTCCGCGCCTACCAGGTCCTCACGCAGCCCGTCGAGAAGCTGGTGCAGGTGCTCGGCCTCGAAGTCCCCGTCGCGCCCCTCGTCTCGCTCGCGGGCATCAAGGCCGACGGCGTGCTGCTGCACTGGAAGCCGCCCGACCAGCGCGCCTCGGTGCTCAAATACGTGATCCGCATCAACGGCATCGACATTGGCGACATCTCCCCGCAGGAGTCGTCCATCACCATCGAGAACCTGCAGCCCGACCGACACTACACCATCCGCATCGTCACCCTCAACTCGTCCAGCTTCCAAGCCCCCAGCGTGCCCATCCGCCTGCGCACCCTCCCCGCCGACTCGGATGACTTCTACGGTCCGTCCCCACCCAAAGACGCGCCCCTCGTCAGCGACGACAATGACTACACCCCCACGCCCGTCATCCGCCCCAACAAGACCCTCGCCGATGTCGTCACCTCCGTCGCTGCCCCGCCCATGACCCGCGAACACAGCAACAGCACCTCCCGCATGCGCCGCCCAGACATCGGACGGAAGATCTCGCCAGCATCGCAGATGCAGGACCAAGGGAGGGCAGCGCAAGAAGCAGAAGGCCCAGACTCGATCCGGCAGTTGACAGAGAAGCTGGACGGCCTCAGACGCGAGTTGGACGACATGGAGCGCCAGATCCAGGACGAGGATCAGGAGTTTGTCACGCAGAAGGCCATCTTGGTGGACAAGCGCGACGAGAAGAAGGCGGCATTGAAAGAAAAGGAAGACGCCAGTCGCGACCTGCGGAAAGAGGTGGCTAGTCTTGAGCGTCAGAATGCCGCGGCCCAGACAAGGCGCGCTCAGCAGGAAAGGGTGCTGCGTCAAAAGGAAGCCGAGCGCAAGAAGCTGAAGGACGACGTTGCCAAGTGGACCAGGGAGGCGGGCGAACTCCGCGACACTGCTGAGAAGATCAAGAAGGAGCAGACCGAGTACCAGGCAGCCTCCGAGAAGCGCGTCCAGGACCTCAAAGACAAGTACGCCGACGAGACGCAGGCGAACAAGGTCTTGGAAGACGCCATCCGCGAGAAGGGCATCCACATCAAGGCTCTGGAAGAGGAGAGACAGAAGCTGGAGGAAGGCCAAGAAGGCGCTGAAGCGACAGACGGCCCCGACAACGCAGAGAAGGAAGAGGACAACCGCTGGAAGATGACTCTGGGTCTTTTGCAGCAGCAATATGCTCAAGCTTGGGCGCTATACGCCGAGGCGGAGCGAGCCCATCAGGATGCCACGGGCAGATTGACCTACATGCAGCAGCGCCGCCTGAGCCAGCCGCAACTCTTCTCAGGACCGCCAGTCCCAGAAATGGGTCCCGTCAGGAGGAACAGCCAGCGTGCGCGACCGCTAAGCATGCGCGAAGGGCTTCTGGCTCAAGCAACTGGTGGCTTCGTGCATACTTCATCAGCCCCGTTCAACAGCATCCCCACGACTTCATCACCTTCGTTCGCTACCGCCACGCCTTATTTCAACCCAGTCAACGGCATGGCATTGCCTCCTCCTCGGAATTACAGCACATCCTTCTCGCAGGCCGACTTCGAGAGCTTGACCGGCGGTGCGCCAATGAGTCCAACAGCCGGTGCATTGCTTCCAGCGGGATTATTTGGGGATGATTTAGGCTTGACGGAAGACGAAGACGACGACCCAGGTCCACCCCAAGCACCGTCGCTGGATCCTTCACCCAACATGAGGAACGTCCTACCTGGTCTTGGAGCCCCTGGAACCATGAACCACACGCAAAACTCGAGCTCACCAGCTTCTCCACAGAGCGGCTCGCCCAGTGCTCTAGCAAGTCCTCGGGACAGTGCTGGTGAACTCAACTTTTATCCCAGCCATGACAACAACATGGACAACGACAGGCGCTCCATTCACTCAACATCCAGCTCCTTCCAGATCAATCCCCAAGCCAGTCGTTTTGGTGGACTCTTTGGACTGAACCGAGCACGGGGCAAGACGTTCTCCGATGAGGGCCCAGCGTTAGGCTCCCTGAAACCGTCACAGAGTCAGTCACTACCCCGCCAGGACCATGGCATTGACGGTCTGGGTAACACTCGCCGCCGGGGCAGCCATTCCGAAGGCGCATGGTACGACACATTCATACGCACCAAGACTCAGCCGATTGAGTCGCTTAGTAGTCCAAAGCATGTGGCTACACGTAAACGACCCTTCAACATGTTCAGCAGCGCAAAGGGTGGGGAAGACCCCTGGCTACGAAATATCCTAGGCATGCAGAGGCCGGAGTCTCCACGTCAGGGTTCTACTAATTCAGGAGAAGGCATGGCTCTGCCACGTCCATCGACCGAGAGTCAGACTCGTTTCGGCTGGAATGTGGATGCCTTTGGTGCTCGGGCTAGTCCTCTCGGAGTCGACTGGAGTGTCAACAACACCAACACCACTTCATGGTCACGGCTAGGGTCTCGTCGGCCCTCGATGCAACACACGTCGAGCGCAAACCTCATCAACGACGACATCCACGACGATGTTCTGGACTTTCCTTCAAACACACGCTCACCCACTCAAGCGCCGATCGGTACTCGCCCACAGTCATCTGCTTCCCACATGCCAGCCCAGCCGTCGACCTCATCACTCCCACCCATTCCACCCACCCCACCAAAGCAGCTCAACCCCGCAGCAGCAAGCTTCACCATGTTCCAACTCGGCAAGAAGAACGAAGAAGAAAAAGCCAAGCGCGCCGCCGAGAAAGAAGCCCGCCGCGCCGAAAAGGCCGAGAAGAAGGAAGAAAAGGAAAAGAAGGTCAAGGCCGATAAAGCGGAAAAGGCCGCCCGCAAAGACAAGCACGCCACGCCTTCGGAAGCCGGCGATGCCAGAGACACAACTTCTCCTCATGATTCTCGCATGTCGCGAGACACGCCTTCTATCATCTCTACGGCTGACGCCTCAGAAGCCTCTCCCCGCGAATCTCTTGAAAGAAGCATTTCTCACACTGCCTCCGACGCCGCGGGTTCCATCGGCAAGGAATCTTTCATGCAGAAACTCACTCGCAAGGGTAGCACGAACCAGTTCCTTACCTTTGGCAAGAAGAACGCGCTCTTTTCCAAGTCTGCCAAATCCGACGTACCTAGTACACCTGACGAACATGAGGAAGAGGGTTCAACAAGTGGCTTCTTTGGTCTAGGCAAGAGCACCGAGAGTGTGGGCAATAGTCCTCAGATTGGCACGCCGAAGAGTGGGACTGCTGGCGGCGTTTGGGGGAGTATTACCAAGAAGATTGGGAGGAAGGAGAAGGATAAGACGCCGAGTTTGCATGAGAGTGTTGCTAGTGAGGCGACGGGGGATGAGGAGGATGTGGTTGGACTTGGGGTTGTGTAGTATTGTATTCATCGTGTTGTAGTGATTAGCAAAACGTATTGTTTTCTCGTCACTTTGGACCATACTCGTGGTTCGCATGTGTTCGTTTTATCTAATCCGCCTTCACTCGTAGTTCGCTAGTGCGACTTTTCCCCAGATTCCACTTGAGCCGCATGCAGCTGCCAAGCCTTCGCGTCTGTCCGTCGCAACCTCAACGCGCGACCTTCACTCACCTACCAACATCACGCGCGACCCCCACCAGAAACCCATCATGGCGTCACCCGCCGCAGAACCCATGCAGAATGGCATCTCAACGCCGCCCGCGACCGCCAACGCACCCACACTCAGCCCACCCACCCAGTCGCAACCACAACCCTCACAACCAACAGCTCAACCATCGCAACAGTCCAACGGCACATCCACAACCGCCCCCATGAACCCCGCCTTCCCACCAACATCCCTCTCCGACCCGGGCACCTCCAAACGCCCCCGCGACGCCCGCCTCATCCACCTCATCCTCGCCAACATGGGCGTGCACGCCTACACCGAGCGCGTCCCCCTCCAACTCCTCGACTTCGCCTACCGCTACACCTCCTCCATCCTATCCGACGCAATCAGCTACGAACCGCCTCTACCTACCACCTCCGGCAGCAAGAAACGCGGCGCGAATGCTGATGGCAGCGGTGAAGACGCCGTGAGTCTGAATGCGCTTAGGACAGCTGTGGGGGCAAGGGCTGCGGGCGCGTTTAATACGTCCTTGGGCAAGGAGTTTATGAGTGAGGTGGCGCAGGAGAGGAATCGTATTGCGTTGCCGAGGGTTGAGCGCGAGTTTGGGATTAGGTTGCCGCCGGAGAGGTATTGTTTCACGGGCGTGGGGTGGGGGGTTAAGGGGGCGTGGGAGGAGAGTGTTGAGGATGAGGGGCAGGATGAGGATATGGAGGTTGATGGGGAGGGTGCTGGGTTTGCTGGTGGGCCTGTGGGCACGGTGAATGGGACGGCGGCGGCGGAGACGGAGGCGAAGGATACGGATATGGGGGGCATGGAGGAGGATGAGGAGGTCGATGACGATGAGTTTGAGGAGGCTATGGGGATTAATCAGGAGAATAATGGTTGAGCTGAGAGCTTGGCTTGACTTGAGCAGGCAGCAGCAGCACAAAGGTGTGACTGGGACGGCGTTTGGCGGGACTTGAGCATTTGTAACGGGCGTTATGGACTGGACTGCGAGGTTATACCAGAGCTGATGCAAGGAACATAGCTTGAGCTTTTACTTTGCCCGCAAATGGCTGCGCTGAGTTTGAAATGCGGGAGAGTATTTACACGTTATAATACAATATACATCCGCTCCATCCTCCATCCATCCTCCCCCTCCATCCTCTATCCCCCTCCACTCCATCACCACATCCCACCACCCACCCCCCTCATCTCGACCCATAAACCCCACCCCTAGTAACCCCCCTATCATCAACCCTATTCTCTTCTTTCCTCCTCAACCCCGCCTCCCCTACCTGATCCCCCTTCTCCGCCTTCTTCCCCAGCGTACGCCCCGACTCATCTAGATTCCACCATTCTTTGTGTTTTTCCCGCGCATCTTCCAGCTTTCTTTGGTGGTCTATCCTTGCCTATCACAAATGTCAGCATTCCATCCCCAGAGTGCAGAGTTGAGAGTCAAGAGTTGGGAATTGGGAGTTGTGATAACATACCTGCCTCCTCTCCTCCGCCAACGCAAACCACTCCAACCGCGCTTTATCCAACTCATCCTGATTCTGATACTGCAACATACAACTATTCATCGCCAGTCGTGGTTGGCGGCACGCGTATATCATTGTGAAGGTGCGGCCGAGCGCACACTGCGCAAAGGTTTCAATCTCCTTTGCGCATTTCGCCCGCACGTTTTTGTAGTATAAATCCTTGACTTGTTGTTCTTGGGGCGCAGATAGGGGGGTGGGGTTTGTGGGTGTGCGGTTGGTGCCGATTATCATGCGGTCTTCTGTGTTGGCCATCGTGGGCTATTGCGAGGGTGGGTGGTACGAGTGGGCGCTACCCAGGTGGTGGGGTTGGGTGGTGTAAATGCGAGGCGTAGTCGAATTGTAGCTCGAGGTATGAGGTAGCGAGTGACGATGTAGGAATTGTGTGTGGTTGGTGGGTGTGGACGTGAGTGAGCGTCTTTGCGGACTCCCGGCGGTGCTGAGGTTCGAGATTGGATTGGATTGGCAAGATTGATGTGATTCGGGGTGGGGCATATCCATGCAGTTCGGTGGTGAGGATACGGAGCGGGCGGGCATGTCGGAGGTTGTGGGCTTGGTTTGGCCGATCTGGGTGAGCCGAGGCAAGTGAGCTTGAGGAACGGCGTCTGTGGTTTAGACTTCACATGCGCTTTTAGTTGCGGCTTTACTTTACATCACGTAGACACGAGCACAGCCAGAGACTTGACAGTCGCAACATTATATTCGTTCATCCCACGATCCATCTACATCCTCACCTCACCCTCCCCCACAATGAAGATCGCAGACCGCACCTTCCTCATCAGCGGCGGCGTCTCAGGCCTCGGCCTCGCAACCGCCCGTGCCCTCCACTCCGCCGGCGCATACGTCTCGCTGCTCGACCTCAACGCCTCCAACGGCTCCAAGATCGTCTCCGAACTGGGCGCACGCGCAAAGTTCTTCGAAACCGATGTCACAGACACAGACGCCATCGCATCCGCAGTCCGCAGCACAGTCGCGTGGGTGAAAGAAACAGGAAAAGACATTGGAGGTGTGGTAGCAGGAGCAGGAGTAGGAATGCCAGGCCTGATTATCGACAAGAAGAACGAGCCGTTGAGCATTGAGAGTATTGATTTTGTGCTCAATATAAATTTGAGGGGAACGTTGGATTTGGTTAGGCAGATGGTGCCGCATATGACTACGACGACGCCTTCGAGTCCTGATGGATCTCGAGGTGTGATTATCATGATTGCGTCTTCGGCGGCGTTTGATGGACAGATGGGCCAGGTTGCGTATGCGGCGTCGAAAGGGGCGGTTGCGAGTCTTACACTGCCGCTTGCGCGCGATCTGTCAAAGTATGGTATTCGTGCTGTGACGATTGCGCCGAGTATGTTCGATAGCGCGATGACGCGCATGATGAGCGATAAGGTGAAGAAGAGTCTGGAGAACAGTATGGAGTTCCCCAAGAGGGCGGGGTTGCCGGAGGAGTTTGCGAGGTTGGTGGTGGAGTGTGTGGGGAATGAGATGTTGAATGGGACGGTTTTGAGGCTGGATGGCGCGATGAGGATGCCGGCGAGGCTGTAGTTGTATTTATTTGGGTATATGGTTTATTGAGGGCTCAGCGCTTGCGCTCCCTGATCTTGAACTTGACGCCGTTCTTGTTGACCCCGCCGACGGTGTTGTTCATCTTTGCGCGCTGGAGTTCGAGCTCTTCTTCAGCGGCCATGAGTTCGCTCTCCCGCTTCTTGAGTGCGCGTAATCTTGTTACGTGGCGCTCTTGTGCTCGCTCTCTTTCCTTGCGGAACTTTCGAGCTTCTCTCCGTGCTTGCTTTTGTGCCTCTATTTGCTTCTTCGATAATGTGTTCGGTCGCTGGATAGGCGTTTCGTCGTCGTCTTCCGATAGCTCGTCTTGTAGGTCTCCAAAGGTAGGCGACTCCTTGCGCGCAGGAATTTCCTCGCCGCGCCCGAACCAAGTGTCTGGTTCAAACTCCTCTTGTTCTTCCTCGTTGTCCACAAAGACTCTGTGCTTGCCCTGCTTCGTCCTTGCCGCATCCCTGACAGCACGCACCTCTCCCTGCTCCTCCATGATCAGCCTCTGCTCTACCTCCTCCTTCTCTTTGCGCGTCTGCTGTAGCATAGTGCGAATGTATCCCGCGTCCTGTGTCTTCAACAGCTTGACCACCTCCATGCTCAGCGCCTTGTTGCCTCGGTCCGCCACCCTCTTCCCCGACTTGTCCACCTTGGACGACATCATTTTGAAGGAGAATTCATCGGGATTGCGGTCCTGAGCCTTTTGCTTCAGGATCTTGAGCTTGGCCTGCTTCTGCTTGTGGTCGTGCGCGCGCAGCTTGTAGTCCTTGCGCTTTTCGAGGAGACCCCATTTTGCGCGCTCTTCGGGTTGCGCGCGCTCCTTGTGGTTGCGCCGCTGAACGGCATTTCGCATGGACGACATTTTGGGCGGTGGGTAGTGTGGCGCGTTGGTTGTGTAGAGGCGTTGAATGGCTCGAGACTTTTCGGTGGGCCTCCGCTGCCAAGACTTCGGCCCACTTTACTCATCTGCTAGTCCAAATGGACATCTGCATGCTGTTTCTCTCAAACATCGACACCTTTGGTGATTATTGATCAAATTCACTTTTCGTCGTGGCACTAATTTATCTAGAACGACAAGACACTTATTACACGTCATCTACCAGTGCAGAAAGTATCGTGGCCCTCACATTGTCCAGGCGTCATGATCTCCATGTGTTTACCGCATTCGATCTTGAAACACATTCTAGGAAACGTTCCGCACTTGCATTGCCTATCCAGGTTTATGCAATATGGATCTGTCCTTCCAATGGCGCCGGTTGGTGGAAGGACGCAGCGGAAACTTTACGATATGGATTGTGCCCATGGAACAGCACACCTGGGCATCGTCGGCGATGATGTCCATCCTCAAATGCCGTCGGATCGGGTACTTACTGCCAGCCGCCCCATCTGAGACGTTCTAGTGCTCATGGATGGGTGCTTCCGCTGATAGGAGCCGTTCACCGATGGACGATTGCCAATCATCGGTGAGCAATTTGATTCTGGTTCTTCGCGGGAGTCGCGGAAACGGACCATCATCGTAGAGATATGCAAGACCGGAAGTATGGATCCAGAGGTATCCATATCTAAGTCTCGGCCTTGTACTCTTCGACAAAATCTTGAGTCCAGCGAACCAAGGTACGTGAGCGGTGAGAATGCGTTGACTCTTTTACGACGTGAAGGCACAACCAGCCAACAACACATCTTCGCCGAGGCGATCTGTTCTCAAAATGGAACGGAACATTTCGCAAGAAATTGAATCGCATACCATCCACCCAGAGATCGACTCCAGAGGAGGTATTCCACAAGAACCATAGCCCATCTCCCAACTGAAACGCCAAGTCATCACCAACCCTCCGCCCAGGAATCCTTCCAAACACCGCGGAAAATTCTCTACCGACATATGGCGCTGCACTAATGTACCCTAGGTCTTCCCCAATATACTGCAACGCCAAAACACCGTCACCTGTGTCATAGACATTATTCTCCGTCACACAACCGCACATTCTCGATTCATGGCGTACGGAAAAACATGTCAATGAGAAATCCCGCGAATCACGAAAAGGTCCAGGGCGTATTCTGTTATGCAGTGTAGATCGAAATAGTGAGGTTGTGATGGTGAGCATGACCATTCTAACCACCGGTAAGGGTAACAGCAACCTCAGCCCCTAGCCAAGCATGACTTATCACGGCGGAAGACAATTCTCCACCATTCTCCACAAATACTACAGCGTCTTGGCTTTGCGGACTGGATCCACAATCCAGGGTCTCATCCACCCCGTAGCAATTTCACGACGTCCGTAGAGGGCTACATCGGTGTCTAGATCTGGTTGGCGATGCAGGTATCGTGGAGAGGTGGGTATGGAGGATGTGTATAAAGGCAATGGGGATTCCGAGTGGTAGACCAGCAGCTCACTCATCTCTTCTCTGAGTATTCAGCCCATCTGCAAACTTAGCAGCTCTTCCAGTTCAATATCCAACTTACGCACCACTTTCTCCCCATCATGTTGTCCCAAGTCGCACTCCTCTCCCTCGTCGCCAGCATGGCAGCTGCGCAAACCCTCAACATCCCCACTCGCTCCGGCAGCATCGTCTCGCTCCCCCAGCCCAGCACCATCACCGGCAGCGTCAACTTCGGTAACAAGGAGTTCGACCGCGGTCGGCCTTGCAACTCAGACGAAGACACTGGCAGCGACAGCGCCGTCTTCATCCTCCAGAACGGCGCGTCCATCTCCAACGTCATCATTGGCGCAAATGCGCTCGAGGGCGTGCACTGCTTGGGTATGTTCTATGTTCATCTCGCGACCCCGCAAGAATGGTACTGATGTAAGAAGGCTCCTGCACCCTAACAAACGTCTGGTTCCGCGACGTCTGCGAAGACGCCATTTCCATCCTCGGCAGCGGCAACGCCCTCATCCAAGGCGGAGGCGCCGCTCAAGCCAGCGACAAAGTTATCCAGCACAAGTACGTCCTCCAATCTCCCCTCTCCCTCCCTCTTCCCCACCCACAAACCCCCAAACCCAAACCCAAACCCATACATATACTAATACACCCCCTCCTTTTTTAGCGGCGCAGGCACGGTAACCATCAAAAACTACACCATCGTCAACGCCGGAAAGCTCTACCGCTCCTGCGGCGACTGCACCGACAACAGCAAGAAATCGCCCCGCAAGGTCATCGTCGAGAACGTCCGCGCTTTCGGGCTTACGTCTGATCTCATTGGCATCAACTCCAACTTCGGTGACACAGCCTCCATCAGTGGATCGTGCGGAACGACGAAGAAGGTGTGCCAGGAGTACAAGGGTGTTAACAAGGGGAATGGGAGTAGCAGCAAGGTTAGCACTACGAGTGCGTGCACGGGTGCTCAGGGGAAGTTGAGTGCGCTGCCGAGCTGCTAAATGGTAGTCGATGGCCAAAACCTCGAAGTCGCTACAGAGGTATCGGCGGATGTTGATGCGTCTTGAGGCTGACTGAGGAGACGTGGTGCTGGGAGATGTGGACCCGGAATTATGTATATATTCACATTCATTTTGAGATTGTATATAGCTATCACAGCAGCGATGAGGATATGATCAATTGTATTGGTATCTTTATGCAGTTTGGTCCTCTTGAGAGACAGCTTTTTCGTGGTTGTGTTGCAAGTGCACGTAAAAGAGGATATGCTTGAAGCGTCTACGGAATACCGTTGCATACTGCCCACACAAGTACGCGGTTAGTCGAAATACCAGATCTACAGCAAACGTGACTAATACCAGGTTGCATTGAATTTCGTAGCTGTACACAGGAGACGTGAGGTAGTCAGGGACTGCCTTGCATCAAGATTACTACATATAGTACTTGATCGCGTCTGATTGCCCTGCTCTGCATTCACAATCCGACGTAACACCGTTGCATACGTGCAATCTCACCCTTTGCCGGTAGTACCCAGCACGGCTTCATCCACAAGCGCATACATGCATGCTGCTCACGCTTCCTCGACCTCTTCAAGATACCTGTCCAAAGCTATCTCTGCCCGTGACCGAGGGTCAGGTATACCCGTCACCTGGTCAGTCAGAAGGAAAGTACGGACTTCGTAATAAACCGGGCGTTTAGGGTCACCGGGTAGATGATAGCCGTTTACTTGGTCCTTGTTGGTGGCGAAGTATCTTACGAATACGTCCAGCCAATGCGCGACATCCGTCTTATTACGCAGTATGATTGCAATGTCTGAAACATTGATTTGCATGTCCGTTGGAATTACGAAGCCAGAGGTAGCGTATTTCTCTGGCAGGCTGACTTCGAGAGGTGGTGCAGCGTGTTTCTGGCGAAGAGAGCCCATGTAACAACCCTCCATAGCATGTGGACCCACGTCCAGATAGTTGAGACTCGGACATTTCTGCAGGCCCTGAGCGATTGAGCGCCAAGTACTGTCGGTCAGGTTCATGTACTCAAACTTGACATGTTGTAGTGTTCGAGCGTGTCGCTTGATGAAGCCCCGAAGACGACTCCCGCTCACGTAGCCGTTACAAAGCTCCAAGTGGGTAAGATGCGAATACGTGTTCTTCGCGAAGAGACCGGCCCATATATCTTCGCATCCGTGGCATAGTCTAAGTCGTGGTGTGTTATTGCATCCGTGGAAAGTGATCTCCTTCACGCTTGAGAGGTTGGCGGCTAGCTTTGATAGTAGAGGAGTGACAGACTTGTAGCCAGAGTAGTGTCGGCCAATTTCGTTGTGCGCGACGTCACATTGTCTCATGTCTGAATCCATGTCTTCAGGATCTTTATGTGGAGTAGCTCGGAGCTCGATATGCGAGATTAAATGCGCCGACTCGATGAGTGTGTTCAGGAAACGATCGTGCGAGGATAGGTAGTCGTTTCCTGGCCTCACTAATACGTGGACGATTTGGCGCGAAACTAAAGCGAGGTTGAGTGCCGCGCATACGGGCGCATAGGTCATCTCTTCGCAGAGCTCCAATTTCTGCCGTGATTTTGACTTTGCTAGGTTCCTGAAGCATTGCGCTAGGATATAAACCGCGTCGGGGGAGTTCGTGAAGGCGGTCAGCTCTTCGTAAGACAAGCCGTCCACGTATTCCTCATGATCACAGGACAACGTTCTACCGTAATACTCATGCTTGTATGGCCAATCGAATATGACTCCGCGGAGTCGGTCTCGGAAATAGGGAGCGCTGCTGATTTCTAACAGGGCGCAGAGAGACCGGTAGGTAAGTTTTACCCAGGGTTCGTCTAGCATTCCTCCGTAGAGAACCCCAAGGTCGAATAGAGTTTTCTGGTAGATCTCCCTGCAAGAAAGCCGAAGCGCCTTGATACGTTCAGGTAGTATACCGCTGGGAGGGTCATCTTCCGCGACGATGAAGCGACAGATTTTGCTGAGGATCTCCGGCGGTAGCGCAGATAGTGTCATGGCTGCGGGTCTCCGGCGGCTTCGGTGAGGTATGCAAAGAGATGACGAGAGTGATCTGGCTGTAGACGACGTAAAGTCGAGAGCCGCTGCTGAAGAAACTGCGTTGTTGTGTCGGGACCGCGGCCGACTGACCATGTTTTAACCTTAGGCAACAATACCGCTAGCACGGACCCAGTTCTTAACCGGAAGCGTCGCTGCTTCGAGTGAAAGAGCTCAACGACAGCAGAATTAGAGCGTGTTGCTATTCTACAGCACTTCACTTGCGTACTCTCATCAACGATCGCAAATTTTTACTGTCAAAGAGCGTTAACACAGATGCAGATGCAAAATAGAAAGTTCCATCTCCCAATGATCACAGCCTCCCATCAACATTCCCATACTCAGCAAGCTCCACTTCATTCAAATGGCTCCTCGCTCTCATACTACTCCGCGCACTCTCCGTCGTCGCCAGACTTTGACGCATGAGCACCGCTCTCTTCGGATCCATCTTCGCGTTCGGTGATGCAGGTTTGAAGACTCGATTGCTTTCATGTCCGTAATACGAATATCGGGCGGGCCGCTTTCCTTTAGCAGCAGATGATACTCCCGTTGTACTGATACCTGAATGAGTTCTTGCTGGGCGCGTTACCGCGGGTAGTGGCCAGTCGTCAGTGTCGGAATTTTCGTACTTGACCGACGATTCGGGCGATTCATGGTGCAGGTCCCACTCCTCATGTTCCCAGATGGGGTCAGAGTATGTCGACGAGGAACCCGATGGTTCGTCGATGTATACCGACGAGAACGATGTTGTTGCCGATGTTCGTCTCGGCGCGTACGGCCGTGGGTGCATCATCTTTTCCATCTGCGCATCGAACATATGGCTCGATGCAGTATCCCGTTGATGAAGTCGGGGCAGACTACGAGGAAGCGAGAGCATGCGCGCTGGGTTTCTTGGAGGTGGTATCCGCTTCTCCAGATCCAGCATCTCGTAGCAGGCTTTACCAATCCAGAGCATCTGCTCGTGCTCGCGAAGATAGCGCTCACCACCGAAAGACTTCTGGACAATGTTGCGAGCCATCATCCCCAGCTTTCGTCGATGTTCAGACTTTTCGTACATCCGACGCGTGATGACCTCGACATCTTTTGGTGTGGGTTTGTGAGGCAAGATTGGTGCCGCTACCCCTGGGCTGTCGTCGGCATATTGAGTCCACTCATCCAGCATAGCGAGTAAGTTGATCTGCGCGCGTGCGAGTCCATATGCGTCATTAGGTGCCACAACTTCGCTATAGCGTTTACCGTCATCAGGGTCAGTGAGCACGCGCAGCGACGCGCCAACGTCAGTACAGACGACTGGCGCTCCTGTAAGCGCCGCTTCTCCAAGCGCAAGCGGCAGTCCTTCGGACACGGAGGAGTTGAGGAACAGCCAAGTGTTCGCAAGAACCATTGCTGGGTCTGCAGTGCCGCGCATCGCTACGTTTTCTCCAAGACCTTTACAAGCCAAAATCTCTTGACATTCGGAGGAGTAGACGGGCGATTTGTTGAGAGCGCCGTAGATGTCGAGCTTGTAATCCTTGAAACCCCATTCGTTGGTGATGATGTCAGCCGCAAGTAAAGCTGTCTTAATGTCTTTCGCAAACCAAACGTGAGACAGCATGGTTACTGTCGGCGTCTTGGTTTTGATCTCGGTCACCGGAGAAAACTTGGTCATGTCGGTAATGCCGTTCACGATAGGATCGACTTTCCGACGAAACACGTTGCGGTGTGTAAGTTGACCCTTTGCGCTACCGATTTCCACCTCCCAGCCGGGGTTGAAGAAGTCTAGCATATCAAGTCAGTCACTTCGTTCGGATATGAGATGCGATGCACCTACCTGCACAGGGCAGGATCTGGTCGGCGTGGTGCAAGATAAGACAAGATGTCAACTTCATTAGACCCAGTAGCGAGTTTCGGATGAAGGGCGGTAGAGTGCACATCGCGGACGAGAGGTAGAGATTAGTCTCACGCCAGGAGATCGCATGATCCCAGATTTGAAGTGTGCAGTTGCGCTTCAGCTTGCAAACGATCCCGTAGGATGCTGAGACGCTGTGGTGCGAGGCTTGGAAGACGTGGGGTATCTTTTCGGGGATGGGGATCGAGAAAATGAATAGATCTACTCAAGTTAGCTTCGTCGCGATCAACAAGAGGATATTACTTGCATCGGAACCACAGCTCTAGCGCCGTGTCGAAGTGATTGAGCGTTGGAAGCTCAGTACGGAACCATTCTGAGGGCGGTTGCGCGTTCGGCATGTCTTCATCGAGCCACAGTCTCCTCCATGTATCTTTGACCACATCGCTGGTCCAGACCTCTTTCCAGTGACGCGAATCCTGAAAATATGTGTTCAGGTTGACCAAAGCACGCGTCGCTTGCTTCACGTCTGCTGATGTCATTGTAGTCGCCCGTGCGCCGCGAACGAGAGCAGTCAAGGTAGGAATGAAGTTCGTTTCGATGTCGGATATCGTTGCTGCTTTGACCAGATGGTCGACCTCGCTGTCCAGCTTGTTGGTGAACATTCCATGGTTTGGATGCATGAAGTCCAGTCCCCATAGTGGTATCACCTTGAGTGACTCAACGTTCTCTTCGGTTTGGTGCTTCGGCAAGCCAAAGTCGTTAGCCGATTCGACGACCATGTGCCATTTGATGGTGCGCAAGTTGTTGATGAGATCTCGACGACATGCCGAGACTCCACCGCCTTCATTCGGCCATGTACCAGTGTCAACAGCGATGACATGAAGGTTGTGGTCGGTATCGCGTTGTAGTGCTTTCGTTCTTGTGAAGATAACGGCATCCCCACCCTGACCAAAGCTGAACAAATCACTCATTCGGATTGCAAGTGGCGTCCATGCGCTGATATCGCTTGTGAGGTCTGAGCTGGCCATGATGGCGTCGGCATGCAGCGCCAGATAATCTTCAGCCTTTACGAGGCTGCCGCGATCTCTCCGTCTCCAATATGGGCGGAGGAGAGCTTCTCTGCGAATCAATTCTTCATCTACCCATCGGATGACAACACCATCTAGATCGTTTCGCTTCTTCCAAGCTTTCCAGAGTTGGGATCGGGCTCTGGAAGTGGAAATCTCTTGTTGTTTGATGTTTGTGCGCAGCATCCGACTGAAGAAACTGGAAGACGGGGACTTGAAGGCTAACAAGGGATTCTCGTCCGCGAAAGTACATCGAGTTGGCTTCTTTAGTACGCCGAGCCAATCATGACGAATCATATCCGGGGTTTCGACTGGGGCGCCGTTAAGCTTCGTAGTAATGGTTGGATGGAACTTGTGGTCATACAGCCATGAGCATTCATATACATCGGCTCCTTGGACGAATGTCGCTTCGTGAACGCGAGGGGTGGGTATCCAGCGCTCCATCTTCTCGGCATGGCGAACAGGAGGTGCACACCAGCTGACGTTGGCTGACATGTGCGGCAGCACAAATTCGGCGCGGAGAAGTTCGTCGTCGTATTTGGCGTTCTTGCGATAATGATACTTGAAACGGACCAGATTATTGTGGTTGATATAGCTTCCCGACTCGATGTGGCCCTTCCGGTTGTAGATAACCTTGGCACCCTCATCCTGGCCGCTGCGACAGGTTCTGCTTAGAGGCACCCTACTCTTCTTGACTTTCGAGATCTTCGTCTTACGCTGAAGTTGCTTCAACGCATACTCGTAAACAAACTCATTGGTGACCGCGCCATTCTTGTACTCTTCACGCAACGTGATGCGCATCTCTTCGTCATAGTATGTGACCCGGAGATGACCCCAAGTAGGCTCTGCTTCCAGATCACCTTGATAGAACATCAGTTTAACCCCGCCAACTTTGACAGGATGAATGAATGCTGTCTCCGTGTCTCCATAGCTTCGAATGATCAGGCGATTCTTTTTCTGGACGATCAAACTACCCTTCACTGTTCCAGCAAGGCCTGCGATGTCTTTGCGGCGATGGTACAAGAAAAACGGCAGAGCAACGGACATTGCAACCCGACTGTATATCCACAAGCCTGTCAGAACGAAGGTGGCAGACGTGGCTAGTGGACGTGGTGTGTGTATCAAGGCTCCGTTCAGCTCGCGCTGGTATTCAGGGTCGGCCATACATGCGAGGAAGAAGAACTTGACCCAAGTCCCAGCAGAGTGGTAGACATAGGCAATCGGCAGACGGACGTATTCAGTGAAGATGCTGAGAACTGAGACAGCCGAGTGATTGAGGACAGGATGATACGCCTCCTGTATGTCCGCGGTCATTTGACGATACTCTTTCTCGGTGAGAGCCTGATCACCTCGGTTCTTGAAGAAGCTGTACTTGACAACCGCTAAGTACGCGCCAAGGTCATATCGCGCAATGCACGACAGGATGGTACACGAGCTTTCCACCGGGACGTTCGCGTTTATCCATGCCATTTCTGTGTTTGTATAGGGTGCGCGGACGCCAACACATCGTCGTAGGAAAAGGCGACGAATCTCGAGAGGAAGATCATCCCATTGACTTTCGCAGTCGAACCCAAGGCACAGGTTCCGCAATAGTCCTCTGCGAAGCGCAGTTTCAAAGCTCAGGGCTTTCGGTCCCACGACGAGCTCCGGCATCGACCGCTTGCTGCATTCTGATATGGCGTAAAAACCACAGTCGCTTTCCCGGCAGGCAAGCATTGATTCTGTAATCTCAGCCTGGTAGTGCGGCATGCCAAACATGGTTTCTGAACAAGCGTGGAGCAATGTCTCGGCAATGATCGCACTGTTGCTGCTCACATTCATCTGCTTTGACCCAGATCCCTTCGCATCCGAAGCGACGTAAAGCGTGAGACGTCCGCCTGTATAATGCGAGATTGCCCGTAAGTCGCAATCAACCCCAGCCACAGCCTGCATAGGAACGATGAAGACTTTGATGGAATCATTTTTCCACGCCAGAACGATCCGCTGGATGAGGAAGGGCACAGTCGGGAATGCTTGCATGGCAAGCCTAGAGAGGTTTTCGTGGGTGCATGATAGTAGGATAGCGC